TCTTTGAGGTTTAAGTTGATTTTGACAGTCCGGGCCAAGTCGGACCGAACACTTCTGACATAGATTTTCTTAAGAAAATACAGTAAAAATGCTTCACTTTGAGCCCCTTGTTTTCTTTAAATACGATGTACCGTGACATTATAAAGTGGTATATAGGTAGATATAACACTAATCCAAAGATGTAAATACATTTGAAGATACATCTGTGTGTTTAAAGTAGATTTTGACCGCCCGGGCCAAGTCGGACCCAACACAAGCCAAACACTTCTGATAGAGACTATGTTGAGAATGTAGAGGGAAATGGGCTTCACTTTGAGCACCTTGTTTTCTTTAAATATGATGCACCGTGACATTATCAAGTGGTATATAGGTAGATTTAATACTAATCTATGGATGTAAACACATTTGAAGATACATCTGTATGTTTAAAGTTGATTTTGACCGCCCGGGCCAAGCCAAACACTTCTCATAGAGAGCATGTAGAGGGAACTTTAACCAACGTGTCTGCTTTAAATACGACGATCAGTGACGTTATAAACTGGTATTTACTTAGATGTAGTACGTTCCTATAAATATAAACGCTATGCCGACAGATGGAAATTTGTATCACGATAGCTAGAAGTATTTGATACGTTTCAAATCTTATTTCGTTTAACGATTGCTCTTTTACATGTTACCTAGATCAGCGACGCTTACACGCAGCTCCACTTTCTGGTTTTCAAGCGATTTACTCCGAAGTTCTTATTTACTGGTGCACTTTTTTGTTTGGTGATTGTTCATTAATGTCATGTGTGTATGTTGCATCAATTATATGTAGGTATGATCGCCGATAATGAAATAATTAGCCAATAACACTTTGACCCGTCTTGGCCCGGCCCGGCCCGACTTTTAGGCAATGCCTCGTTTACTGCTTCTAAACAAGTGGATGTAACATCATACACCCGTCACGAAACTGATGTGTGGGCCCTAATCTAGGATCACGTTCAGTTCTAATCACCGCTAAAATAGCACATTGTGTCAAGAGCATTCAACTTAAAGATGCTGACATGAAAAGTATCTATATATGATAAATGCGGCAAATACCAGCGCAAACATGTGGCGTTTCACACATCAGTGGCCGGTAACTGAGCGAGGTAATCTCCGTGAGGTACTAATGGCAATGTTCTTGTAGTAGAAGCGACGTCGTAACCATAGAGTAGCATCCATTTTCTGGTGGTATCAACAGTGAAGTTGCATGACATAATAAGTGCTATGGAAAGTAGATATAACACGCGCAGGTATAAATACACTGGACGTTTTAACAAAACTTCATAGACTAACACGTGAGAAGAATTAAGCTCTGCCACCGTACGATATAACATATAATTCATTCATTCGCTGCTACCACCACAAACCACCCCCTCCCTAGATTCATGATGTCAATCACTGTTCATGTAACTACAGTCTGGTCCAGAATCGCTTATTTACAGACCGCCGTTATATACCAGGAATTGTGCCGAGTGCGACGTTAAAAAACACAGACGCGAAACAGCCTGTAAAGAGTGGAGTCTGGATCAGAACGAAACAGTGACTGGAGGCAACGATCTGTCCATCATAGTACGATGACATGGAGTCAGCCAAGCCACAGATACCTCACTCACTCACAATCAACACACACACCTTTCCGGGGGTACAGGTGGCCCAGTCGTCTAAGGTGCCGCGATTCGCTGTGCAGAGTTGCGTCCCTTAGGCACGCCAGAAATCTATGATTGTGGGTTCGAATCCCGGTTCGCCCCGATTATGTTTCTAGGTTTGTCAGCACCATACCCGTGCTCGTGGGTTTCACCGAAGTAATAAACGTCTGAGACCTGCATCACTTCGGGCTTTCCTCCCACATTAAGCTGACACGCCGTGATATAACTGAAATACCGTTAAAAGCGGCGTTAAACCAATCTCACTCACTCACTCACTCACACACCTTCCCTCTATCTGTACCCGCGCGGGAAAGAAGATAGCAAAATAATTGTTATTTTAATAATCAAGCTTAAACTGTTCTCTACATTAACAAAACTGAGTTTTATCAGTATGTTAGATATAAAACACGCACCAGCGTAAACAACGGATATGTGAGAAAAGACATTTCCCCGAAAAGCACGATTCATTTCAACAAGGAAGCTAATGTGAACAATGAATCTGCGTCAGCGGGAATAGATAGTGTGACACTGACCATCTCAAACATGTACTAGAAGATACAGGACCTTGTCAGGAGCAAGATATTAAAGTAAGTATACAAAGCTCTTACATTTTATCAAATATTATATAATATAAGACAGCCAGTGACGAATTTCATTAACAGTAACTAACCAACCCTTTCCGTGATATTTCGTTAAGTCTCGTTAAGCGCAGCGTTTGGAGCCATTTCGAGTAAACAGTACTTCGAGACAAACGGAAGGGTGATACTATGGTGCCGATGAGGAATCGTTAAATACCACAAAGTGAAATCGAGTTAACGGTGTTTCAATGTACAATATACCAGCATGGCCAAGCAACACATGAGGGACTAACCAGTGCAAGTACCAGACCATCGAGTTTTTGTGCTTTTTTGTGATATGATCCGATTACAATTTCCATATGTTAACCTAATAAAAGTGGCACAGTGAATTCCTAGCAATCATCTCTACCTAGTTTGATAGCATATGTCATAGAAGATGAGGCAACGACAAGACCGTGTATAACAGCGCATGCGCAGTCATAGCACTAATTCAACTGGTCATGTAAGGATGTTTATATGATAATGCATTCGTGTTGCTAGACATCGAAGATGTTTGTTTGTCAATATTACCATCATGATACTGATGTGACAGAGTCCACTGTAAATGTGTGTTTAGATCCTTAACACGAGCCTCAACACATTCATTGTCCCATAATTTTGACATGTTTAGGACTAAACGTGTTTACGATTGTGTTTAATAGCTAAACGTGTTTAGGGGCTTAATGAAGGTAAGATCCGCACGCACGCACACACACACACACACACACACACACACACACACACACACACACACACACATGCATTGATGCCTTGAAACCTTGATACCTTGATACCTTGAGCCATATACCTTCATTGTAGAGAACTTTAAAAGAATACGTGGCGCTTTCAATATTGTTAAGCGTTACTGGGGATACAGAAGTAAGGGGATGGTAACTAACTAAAATTAAGAGTCTGTCGTAGTAATCAGATAATATTATACCTTCATTGTCAACTTCCGTTTCCTGTATGAGTAACACAACACAACGCTGTTTAAACATCGGCTGGCTACGAATCTGCAGCCTCTTGGTTTGTGGTCCTTCGCGCCACCACCTGTGCTACGGAGACTGTTGTCGTCACAACTGTCAATTTTCTTTGTCACCATTAACCTAGCGTGGTTTATTTTTACACTTTTATGTTAATATTGTACCAAGCCTCGGTGGGATTTATGTTATACAAGTGCCTGTAAATCTGATTTCCATATCTAATTTCATTATTATATTAAACATCTTATCCATATTTGACATATTGCCTAATGATATGTGTTTCTAGGTTTGTCAGCACCATATCCGTGCTCGTGGGTTTCACCGAAGTTGTAAACGTCTGCGACCTGCATCACTTCGGGCTTTCCTCCCACATTAAGCTGACACGCCGTGATATAACTGGAATACTGTTAAAAGCGGCGTTAAACCCAACTCACTCACTCACTCACTCTAACAATTTGAACAAATTAGTAAATCAAACGCACATACGAATGTCCCCGGGAATAACCGTCTTTACGTCCAATCGTCATAGATACAGGGTTTTAGATCAATAAGCATGCAGTTATGATGCCATTACCACCTTTACAATAACTACCTTCAGAAAACAGTAAATGCGAGGTGTGACACTCTTCCTATGGCGGCATCACTATTGTGCCTCAGTGACATTATATAAACATTGATGGTTAAATTGTCCTTCAAACATACATCCACATATGGGATTATTACTTTTGCTTTAAGATCACGATTTTATCCATACAAAAGTATATACATGGTAAACATATCTAAACAAGTTAAATTCTAATATCAATATGGCTTAATTTTCACACACGAAATCTTTAGAGTACATTTTGCAGCTGAGCAGTTAGTTTACGAGGCTGTCTATCGTAACAGACTACACAGAGACCCATATGTAGCTATTAGATATGAATACTTGTAAGATTGTAAGAACACAGACCTTCAGTCACATTTGTATTCACATTTAAGTAGAAGTCACCTTCTGCATTTTAGCTACTAAGTTTTACACCGTTTTAGCAATATTCCATTAAGTATGTGTTTTACGCCGTTTTTAGCAATATTCCATTAAGTATGTGTTTTACGCCGTTTTAGCAAGTTACCATTTAGTATGTGTTTGACGCCGTTTTTAGCAATATTCCATTTTGTATGTGTTTGACGCGGTTTTAAGCAATATTCCATTAAGTATGTGTTTGACGCCGTTTTTAGCAATATTCCATTTTGTATGTATTTGACGCCGTTTTTAGCAATATTCCATTTTGTATGTGTTTGACGCGGTTTTAAGCAATATTCCATTAAGTATGTGTTTTACGCCGTTTTTAGCAATATTCCATTTTGTATGTGTTTGACGCCGTTTTTAGCAATATTCCATTTTGTATGTATTTGACGCCGTTTTTATCAATATTCCATTTTGTATGTGTTTGACGCCGTTTTTAGCAATGTCGCATCACTCGGATGAGTGGAGTGATGGGAAACACCAGAAACAGCGTTACCCGAACCCGAAACTTCGATGTGACGAGCCAACTCTTCACCCACGAGGCTACCCCTGCCCACACTGTGTATTGCATAATCATAGCATCTGCTACAGATAGCTGGTTTTATTATAATGACAGAATATACAGAATATGAATTCATAATGCCACAGTAATGAATATGAATACGAAATAATCCTTTATTTCAATATCCTAATAACGAACCGGCTCTCCTCCTCCAGGTCAACGCATAACCCTTAACCTGACAGGGTCGGCCTCTTCAGCAACCGTTGGGCGTCCATTCACCTTCACCTGCTACGTGTCCAATGAGTACAGGCTCCGCTCTGGGATATTAGTCTGGACACGGCAGTTGCATAACGTAACACAGAATTACTTTATGAAAAGGAACATTTTCAAATTAAACGAAGTGAAGTGCTGGGACATCGAGTCTTCCATCTATAATCTAACTTGCCCAAGAAATGGTATTTACACTCTGACAATTCCTGACGTTGACTTTGACACGGATCAGAACACGAACTGGACATGTAAATTCATCGGTGTGAGAAGCAACATTATAGCTCTTGATGTCAATGGTGAGAAATGTAAATATTTTCAAGGTAGCATGTACACCGTTTCGGGGTGCAGGTAGGAAAAATATGTCCTCCAGTAAACACAAGTAAAAGATTATTGCCTCAGATTTTACTCTCAATAACATATTCAAGTCTTTGAAAGGCATTTAGAAGTGATACACATAAAGAAGAGAATTTATGGATGTCAACTTCTTTATTATGAGGAACACAACGTTTGGGAGTATATGCTTATTCCTTCATCAGGTGACTGAAGGAGTAAGCATATACTCCGAAACGTTGTTTTCCTCATGATAATTAAAGAAGTTGATATCCATACATTCTCTTCCCCAATTATATATTGTTTAAAAACTGTCCTAAAAGTGAGTTTGTCAGCAAAATGATAATTGTTGGTCCTTCCTTTCAAATTTTTTTTATATGTTTAGAGGTAAGGACAGAAAAGTATCTGTCACTTAACAATACTCCGTCAGAATATTAAATGACTTCTTCCGTATGTGTGACAGTTTGAGCTGGTCGTTTGAATCGTTCGCCGTGTAAAATACCTATATATGGTGTACCGCGTCGTCACAGTGTGTGAGTGAGTTGGGTTTAACGCCACATTGAACAGTATTCCAGTTATATCACGGCATGTCAGCTTAATGTGGGAAGAAACCCGAAATGTTGCAGGGCTCAGACGTCTACCGCTTTTGTTAAACCCATGAGCACGGGTACTGTGCTAACCTTGAAACACATTCGGGGCGAACCGGGATTCGAACGCACGATCATAGGTTTCTCGAGTGCCCAGGGGACGCAACTCTGCACAGCTAATTGAGGTGCCTCAGACGACTGAGCCACCCGTGCCCCCCTCGCCGTCATATGGCTGTGATATTGCTGAAAGCGGCATGGGAGCCAACAAACACTGTGCTAGTGTGTGTGTTTCGACTTGATGTAGGTAATGTGTGTATATTTAAAATCATCGTACCATTATATTCATCAGTTCCACTAGAAAGCATCACACTTCTCAATTCAACACCACGAGTTAAACACGTCACTGAAGGTGACAACATAACTTTTGAGTGTGAAACAAGCCCGACGAAACCACCTTCAACAATAACATGGATGGTTGCCGAGACGGCCATGACAACCGGTGTGACGTCATGGTCACGCAATAACCAAGGTCTTACTACCACCAGAAGTCGGTTTACAAGAACGGTAACATCAGAAATTCACATGAAGGACATACGATGCGATGGAAGCTACACCGAAACGAATTTGACGCTCACATCGAAGATGATACAACTTGCTGTGGATGGTATAAATTAGAATATATGTACATTTACAATCAATAACGACCGCCTCCGTGTTCTAGTGGTAGAACATCACCCCGGATCCCCGGCCGCGTCTAACCATAATACGTTAAAAGATGGTATTTGTTGTTACCCTGTCTGGCGCTCGGCATTAAGGGGCTAAAACAAGGACTGGTCGGCTCGGAGTCAGTATACTGTGTCTGAGTGGGGTATTCATGTTAAGCTGCAGCAGGGTATCTCAGTGGGCTAGCACTATAAATCGCCATCGGTCGGGACTAGCACCCCCCCACCCCCCACCCCCCCCCACACACACACCCCGACCCCCCACCCCCCCCACCCCCCACCCCCCCACCCCCATTGTGGCTTTGTTAGTAGATCATTGTAATCGCCTTCCTTATGGACCTACCTTTTGAAAATCCGGTGTGGGGAGGGTGGTGTGGAGAGGGGAGGGTGGTGATGAGAGGGTAGGCTGTTATAGAGTCGGGGGGTTGGGGGTGGGGAGGGGAAGGTGTGTGGAGAGGGGAGGGTGATGTTGAGAGGGTAGGCTGTTATAGAGTCGGGGGTGGGGGGTGGGGAGGGGAAGGAGTGTTGAGAGGGTAGGCTGTTATAGAGTCGGGGTTGGGGTGGGGGTTGGGGTGGGATGGGGAGGGGAAGGTGTGTGGAGAGGGGAGGGTGGTGTTGAGAGGGTAGGCTGTTGTGGAATCGGGAGGGTGGTGTGGGGAGTGTGGTGTGGAGAGGGGAGGCTGGTGTTGAGAGGGTAGGCTGTGGGGAGGGGAAGGTGTGTGGAGAGGGGAAGGTGGCGTGGAGAGGGGAAGGTGGTGTGGAGAGGGGAGGTTGGTGTGGAGAGGGGATGGTGGTGTGGAGAGGGGAAGGTGGTGTGGAGAGGGGAGGTTGGTGTGGAGAGGGGAGGTTGGCGTGGAGAGGGGATGGCGGTGTGGAGAGGGGAAGGTTGTGTGGAGAGGGGAGGTTGGTGTGGAGAGGGGATGGTGGTGTGGAGAGGGGAAGGTGGTGTGGAGAGGGGAGGTTGGCGTGGAGAGGGGATGGTGGTGTGGAGAGGGGAAGGTGGTGTGGAGAGGGGAGGTTGGTGTGGAGAGGGGAGGTTGGCGTGGAGAGGGGATGGCGGTGTGGAGAGGGGAAGGTTGTGTGGAGAGGGGATGGTGGTGTGGGGATGGTGGTGTGGAGAGGGGATGTTGGTGTGGAGAGGGAAGGTGGTGTGGAGAGGGGAAGGTGGTATGGAGAGGGGCATTTTTGCTATGCCACTGTATAACGAAACGGTAGCCTCTTTACCGAAACAACCGCATTCTCGTGTATCCATGGCTGCTCATACTGATGTTTCATGTTACAGATGGTTTCTATGAAGGCATTGATGACTCGACGAGGGAAAGCGATGCTAAGACCACCTATGAAGAACTACAAAACAGTCAAAACGCCGGCCCAGTGGCGAGGGGAGGTTGGTGTTGAGAGTGGAAGGTGGTGTGGAGAGTGGAAGGTGGTGTGTAGAGGTGAAGGTGGTGTGCATAGGGGATGGTGGTGTGGAGAAGGGAGGATGGTGTGGAGAGGGGATGTTGGTGTGGAGAGGGGATGGTGGTGTGGAGAGGGGAGGTTGGTGTGGAGAGGGGATGTTGGTGTGGAGAGGGGAAGGTGGTGTGTAGAGGTGAAGGTGGTGTTCATAGGGGATGGTGGTGTGGAGAGGGGAGGTTGGTGTGGAGAGTGGAAGGTGGTGTGTAGAGGTGAAGGTGGTGTTCATAGGGGATGGTGGTGTGGAGAGGGGATGTTGGTGTGGAGAGGGGATGGTGGTGTGGAGAGGGGAGGTTGGTGTGGAGAGGGGATGTTGGTGTGCATAGGGGATGGTGGTGTGGAGAAGGGAGGATGGTGTGGAGAGGGGATGTTGGTGTGGAGAGGGGATGGTGGTGTGGAGAGGGGAGGTTGGTGTGGAGAGGGGATGTTGGTGTGCATAGGGGATGGTGGTGTGGAGAGGGGAGGTTGGTGTGGAGAGGGGATGTTGGTGTGGAGAGGGGAAGGTGGTGTGGAGAGGGGAGGTTGGTGTGGAGAGGGGATGTTGGTGTGGAGAGGGGAAGGTGGTGTGGAGAGGGGAGGTTGGTGTGGAGAGGGGAAGGTGGTGTGGAGAGGTGAAGGTGGTGTGGAGAATGGAAGGTGGTGTGGAGAGGGGAAGGTGGTGTGGAGAGGGGAAGGTGGTGTGGAGAGGGGAGGTTGGTGTGGAGAGGGGAGGTTGGCGTGGAGAGGGGAAGGTGGTGTGGAGAGGGAAAGGTGGTGTGGAGAGGGGAAGGTGGCGTGGAGAGGGGAAGGTGGTGTGGAGAGGGGAAGGTGACGTGGAGAGGGGAAGGTGGTGTGGAGAGAGGAGGTTGGTGTGGGATGGGTGGATTGTGGAGAGGGACAGTGGTGTGGGGAGGGGGGAAAAGAAGGGTGGTGTGAGGAGGGTGTGTGTGGGGAGGGTCGAGTGTGGATTGAGGAGGGTGGTGTGGAGACGGGAGGGGGTGTGTGGTTAGAAGGGAGCGTGGAGAGGGGAGGGCGGTGTGCACAGGGGATGGTGGTGTTGAGAGGGATTGTGGTGTAGAGTGGGAGGGTGGTGTAGAGTGGGAGGTGATGGGTCCTAGGATGTTTTGAAACGATAATTGTCTAGGATAATTTTGTTGATTGATATGAAGCAAACATTATTTAAAACAGACCTGTTATGTTCAACAAAGAAACAGTATTATACACATATTAACTTAACAGATGTATGTTTCTGTAGGGGTTATGTTTGGTGCTGGTGTTGGCGTTGGGATGGCATGTCTGGTTCCCTTTATCGTAGCGGCGGCTGTCTACATCGTATGCAGGAGAGGACGCCAAACATTGAAGGGTGGGTTGTATTCCATTACTGTGAAGACATTATTGATGTTAGCTTCATCGACAGCTGTCATGCTCAATCAAAGTCAAACGTACATACGAACAACATGAAGTATCATAATTGCAAAACATTCTCATTAACGTTGTGATAAGATATCGAATATACACGAAATACACTATATATACTGCATATATAATCGCATGGAGCTGTGAAGAGCTAACAACTTTTATAAAAAAACCTTTTATGATAAATACATCTCTTTGGCAGATGCAGATCCAACGCAAGCCACGGAAATGACAGTGTGAGTATTTAAAGTACAGCTTCACGATATTGATAATCAATGTACTTTTCCGGATAGTGTTCATGCATATAGCTGCAAACTGGTGATATTGTGACTTCCGTTACAGGAACAGAACAGCGCAACCCTCTGGTAAGACTTAAAGTTTAGTCTTATTATTAAAACAACTTGCATGTTTTGTTGATTCAGAATATTAATACATGTCAATGTGTTATGTTGCAAGGATTTTATTCTACAAACTGAGAATACCTTTGACTTGGCATGGTGATGCTTAAGGCATTATTCAATGGCAACTTTTGTTTACTATATCTACATTGGGTTCTATATCCATACATTTTTTATTTTTACAGAAGACGTTATTATCATTTGGCCAAGATATACATCACTCGCGTACAGAGTGGTCAATTTGAACTTTTATGAGATTTTGTTAACAAAACTTTCACTGTCATATTGCTTTATTGTGACTCTGAGGTTTTATTAAGACATACGCATGGTTCGCTGGATGTGCTGGATGTCGTCGAAAAGAGAGTCGTGCCATAAAATTAGAGTGTTCACCTCCATCCGTTACAGGGTGTTTTGGGTCTCGATTTGAAGTAGTTGCCGAATTTGATGCAGTGACATATCATGGATCTAACATCACAGACAGCAGCTTATAGCTGTTTCTCTCTGCCAGAACTTATCGTTGTATCTTTGCGCTAGAACCTTATTGCTGTGTCCTTTAGCCAGGACCTTATTGTTATTGTATCTCTTTGTCAGAACCTTATTATGTCTCTGTTTGCCGGAACCTTACTTATTGCTGTCTTTCTTTGCCAGAACCGTATTGCTGTCTCTCTTTGCCAGAACCGTATTGCTGTCTCTCTTTGCCAGAACCGTATTGCTGTCTCTCTTTGCAAGCACCCTATTGCCGTATCTCTTTGTCAGAACAGTTTTGCTGCCTTCATTTAAAAGCACCTTTTTGCTTTAACTCTTTGCTATAACATTTTGTTGCCTCTTTTTCCATCATCGTATTTCTGTTTCTCTCTGCCATACCTTATTGCTCTATCTTTTTGCCTGAACCTTATATCTTTTTGCCATTACCCTATGGTTGTCTCTCTTTGTCAGAACCCTATTGTTGTCTCTCTTAGCCAGCACCTTATTGCTGTGTCTCTTTGTCAGAACCTTATTGCTGTGTCTCTTTGCCAGAACCTTATTGCTGTCTCTTTGCCAGCACCTTATTGCTTTGTCTCTTTGCCAGCACCTTATTGCTGTCTCTTTGCCAGAACCTTATTGCTGTGTCTCTTTGCCAGAACCTTATTGCTGTGTCTTTGCCAGAACCTTATTGCTGTCTCTTTGCGAGAACCTTATTGCTGTGTCTTTGCCAGAACCTTATTGCTGTCTCTTTGCCAGAACTTTATTGCTGTGTCTCTTTGCCAGCACCTTATTGCTGTGTCTCTTTGCCATAACCTTATTGCTGTCTCTTTGCCAGAACCTTATTGCTGTGTCTCTTTGCCAGAACCTTATTGCTGTCTCTTTGCCAGAACCTCATTGCTGTGTCTCTTTGCCAGCACCTTATTGCTGTGTCTTTTTGCCAGAACCTTATTGCTGTCTCTTTGCCAGAACCTTATTGCTGTGTCTCTTTGCCAGAACCTTATTGTTGTCTCTTTGCCAGAACCTCATTGCTGTCTCTTTGCCAGAACCTTATTGCTGTGTCTCTTTGCCAGAACCTTATTGTTGTCTCTTTGCCAGAACCTTATTGCTGTGTCTCTTTGCCAGAACCTTATTGCTGTGTCTCTTTGCCAGAACCTTATTGCTGTCTCTTTGCCAGAACCTTATTGCTGTGTCTTTGCCAGAACCTTATTGCTGTCTCTTTGCCAGCACCTTATTGCTGTGTCTCTTTGCCAGAACCTTATTGCTGTGTCTCTTTGCCAGAACCTTATTGCTGTCTCTTTGCCAGAACCTCATTAATTGCTGTGTCTCTTTGCCAGCACCTTATTGCTGTCTCTTTGCCAGAACCTCATTGCTGTGTCTCTTTGCCAGCACCTTATTGCTGTCTCTTTGCCAGAACCTTATTGCTGTGTCTCTTTGCCAGCACCTTATTGCTGTCTCTTTGCCAGAACCTTATTGCTGTCTCTTTGCCAGAACCTTATTGCTGTGTCTCTTTGCCAGAACCTTATTGCTGTCTCTTTGCCAGAACCTTATTGCTGTGTCTCTTTGCCAGAACCTTATTGCTGTCTCTTTGCCAGAACCTTATTGCTGTGTCTCTTTGCCAGCACCTTATTGCTGTCTCTTTGCCAGAACCTTATTGCTGTCTCTTTGCCAGAACCTTATTGCTGTGTCTCTTTGCCAGAACCTTATTGCTGTCTCTTTGCCAGAACCTTATTGCTGTGTCTCTTTGCCAGAACCTTATTGCTGTCTCTTTGCCAGAACCTTATTGCTGTGTCTCTTTGCCAGAACCTTATTGCTGTGTCTCTTTGCCAGAACCTTATTGCTGTCTCTTTGCCAGAACCTTATTGCTGTGTCTTTGCCAGAACCTTATTGCTGTCTCTTTGCCAGCACCTTATTGCTGTGTCTCTTTGCCAGCACCTTATTGCTGTCTCTTTGCCAGAACCTTATTGCTGACTCTTTGCCAGAACCTTATTGCTGTGTCTCTTTGCCAGAACCTTATTGCTGTCTCTTTGCCAGAACCTTATTGCTGTGTCTCTTTGCCAGCACCTTATTGCTGTCTCTTTGCCAGAACCTTATTGCTGTCTCTTTGCCAGAACCTTATTGCTGTGTCTCTTTGCCAGAACCTTATTGCTGTCTCTTTGCCAGAACCTCATTGCCGTCTCTTTTGCTAGAACCTTATTGCTGTGTCTCTTTGCCAGAACCTTATTGCTGTCTCTTTGCCAGAACCTCATTGCCGTCTCTTTTGCCAGAACCTTATTGCTGTGTCTCTTTGCCAGAACCTTATTGCTGTCTCTTTGCCAGAACCTCATTGCCGTCTCTTTTGCTAGAACCTTATAACTGTCTCTCTTTCCCAAAACCTTATTTCTGTCGTAAGAGACGACGAAATACTTAACAAATATAAATTGAATATTGGTCGGACTCTATGACTTGCCTGACTGCATGCCATTTATTTATCAGTTCAGTCGCTGGTTCGTCTGTTTCAAACCCAATTGCTAACAAACCGTCGTGATATAGCCTGATTATTGCAACACTGACTCACTCATTCAACTTAACCTATGTGCTTGTAACCCTAAGCAGAAAACTTAAATGGAATCGCTGTGAAATTATTCTAAAGTCGGGGTATGATCCCTTTTGTATGATATGTCCCTTCTATTAAAGTGAGGAACAGCAATCTTCTTAACCCTTGTATCAGCAATCATTTAGCCAAGTATGATCAAATGTGTTAGCTTCTGTCAAATGGGATCATTACGTCTCTCATATCTTGTGTAAATGACGCTCCACACCATGTCAATTTTGCTATGCCACTGCATAACGAAACGGTAGCCGCTTTACCGAAACAACCGCATTCTCGTGTATCCATGGCTGCTCATACTGATGTTTCATGTTACAGATGGTTTCTATGAAGGCATTGATGACTCGACGAGGGAAAGCGATGCTAAGACCACCTATGAAGAACTACAAAACAGTCAAAACGCCGGCCCAGTGGCGAGGGGAGGTTGGTGTGGAGAGGGGAAGGTGGTGTGGAGAGGGGAGGTTGGTGTGGAGAGGGGAAGGTGGTGTGGAGAGGGGATGGTGGTGTGGAGAGGGGAAGGTGGTGTGGAGAGGGGATGGCGGTGTGGAGAGGGGATGGTGGTGTGGAGAGGGGAGGTTGGTGTGGAGAGGGAAGGTGGTGTGGAGAGGGGATGGTGGTGTGGAGAGGGGATGGTGGTGTGGAGAGGGGAGGTTGGTGTGGAGAGGGGAAGGTGGTGTTGAGAGGGGATGGTGGTGTGGAGAGGGGATGGTGGTGTGGAGAGGGGAAGGTGGTGTGGAGAGGGGATGGTGGTGTGGAGAGGGGATGGTGGTGTGGAGAGGGGATGGTGGTGTGGAGAGGGGAAGGTGGTGTGGAGAGGGGAGGTTGGTGTGGAGAGGGGAGGTTGGTGTGGAGAGGGGAGGTTGGTGTGGAGAGGGGATGGTGGTGTGGAGAGGGGATGGTGGTGTGGAGAGGGGATGTTGGTGTGGAGAGGGGAGGTTGGTGTGGCTTTACCGAAACAACCGAATTCTCGTGTATCCATGGCTGCTCATACTGATGTTTCATGTTACAGATGGTTTCTATGAAGGCATTGATGACTCGACGAGGGAAAGCGATGCTAAGACCACCTATGAAGATCTACAAATCAGTCAAAACGCCGGCCCAGTGGAGAGGGGAGGTTGGTGTGGAGAGGGGAAGGTGGTGTGGAGAGGGGAGGTTGGTGTGGAGAGGGGAAGGTGGTGTGGAGAGGGGATGGTGGTGTGGAGAGGGGATGGTGGTGTGGAGAGGGGAAGGTGGTGTGGAGAGGGGATGGTGGTGTGGAGAGGGGATGGTGGTGTGGAGAGGGGATGGTGGTGTGGAGAGGGGAGGCTGGTGTGGAGAGGGAAGGTGGTGTTGAGAGGGGATGGTGGTGTGGAGAGGGGATGGTGGTGTGGAGAGGGGAGGTTGGTGTGGAGAGGGCAAGGTGGTGTTGAGAGGGGATGGTGGTGTTGAGAGGGGATGGTGGTGTGGAGAGGGGAAGGTGGTGTGGAGAGGGGATGGTGGTGTGGAGAGGGGATGGTGGTGTGGAGAGGGGATGGTGGTGTGGAGAGGGGAAGGTGGTGTGGAGAGGGGAGGTTGGTGTGGGGAGGGGATGTTTGTGTGGAGAGGGGAGGTTGGTGTGGAGAGGGGATGGTGGTGTGAAGAGGGGATTGTGGTGTGGAGAAGGGATGGTGGTGTGGAGAGGGGAAGGTGGTGTGGAGAGAGGAGGTTGGTGTGGAGAGGGGATGTTGGTGTGGAGAGGGGAGGTTGGTGTGGAGAGGGGAAGGTGGTGTGGAGAGGGGATGGTGGTGTGTAGAGGGGATGGTGGTGTGGAGAGGGGATGGTGGTGTGGAGAGGGGAGGTTGGTGTGGAGAGGTGAAGGTGGTGTGGAGAAGGGAAGGTGGTGTGGAGAGGGGAAGGTGGTGTGGAGAGGGGATGTTGGTGTGGAGAGGGGAAGGTGGTGTTGAGAGGGGAAGGTGGTGTGGAGAGGGGATGTTGGTGTGGAGAGGGGAAGGTGGTGTTGAGAGGGGAAGGTGGTGTGGAGAGGGGATGTTGGTGTGGAGAGGGGATGGTGGTGTGGAGAGGGGAAGGTGGTGTGGAGAGGGGAGGTTGGTGTGGAGAGGGGATGTTTGTGTGGAGAGGGGAGGTTGGTGTGGAGAGGGGATGGTGGTGTGAAGAGGGGATTGTGGTGTGGAGAAGGGATGGTGGTGTGGAGAGGGGAAGGTGGTGTGGAGAGAGGAGGTTGGTGTGGAGAGGGGATGTTGGTGTGGAGAGGGGAGGTTGGTGTGGAGAGGGGAAGGTGGTGTGGAGAGGGGAGGTTGGTGTGGAGAGGGGATGTTGGTGTGGAGAGGGGATGGTGGTGTGGAGAGGGGATGTTGGTGTGGAGAGGGGAAGGTGGTGTGGAGAGGGGAAGGTGGTGTGGAGAGGGGAAGGTGGTGTGGAGAGGGGATGTTGGTGTGGAGAAGGGAAGGTGGTGTTGAGAGGGGATGTTGGTGTGGAGAGGGGAAGGTGGTGTGGAGAGGGGAAGGTGGTGTGGAGATGGCAAGGTGGTGTGGAGAGGGGAAGGTGGTGTGGAGAGGGGAAGGTGGTGTGGAGAGGGGATGGTGGTGTGGAGAGGGGATGGTGGTGTGTAGAGGGGATGGTGGTGTGGAGAGGGGATGGTGGTGTGGAGAGGGGAAGGTGGTGTGGAGAGGGGAAGGTGGTGTGGAGAGGGGAAGGTGGTGTGGAGAGGGGATGGTGGTGTGGAGAGGGGATGGTGGTGTGGAGAGGGGATGGTGGTGTGGAGAGGGGAAGGTGGTGTGGAGAGGGGAAGGTGGTGTGGAGAGGGGAAGGTGGTGTGGAGAGGGGATGGTGGTGTGGAGAGGGGATGGTGGTGTGGAGAGGGGATGGTGGTGTGTAGAGGGGATGGTGGTGTGGAGAGGGGATGGTGGTGTGGAGAGGGGAAGGTGGTGTGGAGAGGGGAAGGTGGTGTGGAGAGGGGAAGGTGGTGTGGAGAGGGGAGGTTGGTGTGGAGAGGGGATGGTGGTGTGGAGAGGGGATGGTGGTGTGGAGAGGGGAAGGTGGTGTGGAGAGGGGAAGGTGGTGTGGAGAGGGGAGGTTGGTGTGGAGAGGGGAAGGTGGTATGGAGAGGGGAGGTTGGTGTGGAGAGGTGAAGGTGGTGTGGAGAAGGGAAGGTGGTGTGGAGAGGGGAAGGTGGTGTGGAGAAGGGAAGGTGGTGTGGAGAGGGGATGGTGGTGTGTAGAGGGGATGGTGGTGTGGAGAGGGGAAGGTGGTGTGGAGAGGGGATGGTGGTGTGGAGAGGGGATGGTGGTGTGGAGAGGGGATGGTGGTGTGGAGAGGGGATGGTGGTGTGGAGAGGGGAAGGTGGTGTGGAGAGGGGATGGTGGTGTGGAGAGGGGATGGTGGTGTGGAGAGGGGAAGGTGGTGTGGAGAGGGGAGGTTGGTGTGGAGAGGGGAAGGTGGTGTGGAGAAGGGAAGGTGGTGTGGAGAGGGGAAGGTGGTGTGGAGAAGGGAAGGTGGTGTGGAGAGGTGAAGGTGGTGTGGAGAAGGGAAGGTGGTGTGGAGAGGGGAAGGTGGTTTGGAGAGGGGATGTTGGTGTGGAGAGGGGAAGGTGGTGTTGAGAGGGGAGGATGGTTCGGAGAGGGGATGGTGGTGTGGAGAGGGGATGTTGGTGTGGAGAGGGGATGGTGGTGTGGAGAGGGGAAGGTGGTGTGGAGAGGGGAGGTTGGTGTGGAGAGGGGATGTTTGTGTGGAGAGGGGAGGTTGGTGTGGAGAGGGGATGGTGGTGTGAAGAGGGGATTGTGGTGTGGAGAAGGGATGGTGGTGTGGAGAGGGGAAGGTGGTGTGGAGAGAGGAGGTTGGTGTGGAGAGGGGATGTTGGTGTGGAGAGGGGAGGTTGGTGTGGAGAGGGGAAGGTGGTGTGGAGAGGGGAGGTTGGTGTGGAGAGGGGATGTTGGTGTGGAGAGGGGATGGTGGTGTGGAGAGGGGATGGTGGTGTGGAGAGGGGATGGTGGTGTGGAGAGGGGATGGTGGTGTGGAGAGGGGATGGTGGTGTGGAGAGGGGATGGTGGTGTGGAGAGGGGAAGGTGGTGTGGAGAGGGGATGGTGGTGTGGAGAGGGGATGGTGGTGTGGAGAGGGGAAGGTGGTGTGGAGAGGGGAAGGTGGTGTGGAGAGGGGATGGTGGTGTGGAGAGGGGATGGTGGTGTGGAGAGGGGATGGTGGTGTGGAGAGGGGAAGGTGGTGTGGAGAGGGGATGGTGGTGTGGAGAGGGGAAGGTGGTGTGGAGAGGGGAGGTTGGTGTGAAGAGGGGAGGTTGGTGTGGAGAGGGGAAGGTGGTGTGGAGAGGGGAGGTTGGTGTGGAGAGGTGAAGGTGGTGTGGAGAAGGGAAGGTGGTGTGGAGAGGGGAAGGTGGTGTGGAGAGGGGATGTTGGTGTGGAGAGGGGAAGGTGGTGTTGAGAGGGGAGGATGGTGTGGAGAGGGGATGGTGGTGTGGAGAGGGGAGGTTGGTGTGGAGATGGGAAGGTGGTGTTGAGAGGGGAGGATGGTGTGGAGAGGGGAAGGTGGTGTGGAGAGGGGAAGGTGGTGTGGAGAGGGGAGGTTGGTGTGGAGAGGGGAAGGTGGTGTGGAGAGGGGAGGTTGGCGTGGAGAGGGGAAGGTGGTGTGGAGAGGGGAGGTGGTGTGACGAGGGGAGGTTGGTGTGGAGAGGCGCATTTTTGCTATGCCACTGTATAACGAAACGGTAGCCTCTTTACCGAAACAACCGCATTCTCGTGTATCCATGGCTGCTCATACTGATGTTTCATGTTACAGATGGTTTCTATGAAGGCATTGATGACTCGACGAGGGAAAGCGATGCTAAGACCACCTATGAAGAACTACAAATCTCTCAAAACGCCGGCCCAGTGGTCTAAGGCGCTGCGATTCGCTTTGCAGAGTTGCGTCCCTTGGGCACGCCAGAAACCTATGATTGTGGGTTTGAATCCCGGTTCGCCCCGATTATGTTTCTAGGTTTGTCAGCGCCATACCCATGCTCATGGGTTTCACCGAAGTATTAAACGTCTGAGACCTGCATCATTTCGGGCTTTCCTCCCACATTAAGCGGACACAATCCAACTCACTCACTATCAAAACACCACCGACATAGTTATAAGATTTGGTGTCATCGCCCTAGATACTCCGAGTTCTTGCCTGAAACCTTTGTTGAACAAACATCCTCATCAAAAGTTTCATTTTAACATCAGGTGTTACCTTGCAAACGTCTTTTTATTTGGGCATACAGACAACCATTTAGAACTATTTTACACACATTCACATTTCGAACCTGTAAACAGAACCTGATTGCCTCAGTAACTAGATGTGTGCAAAATAAGAGACAACAGGCGTTGTAAATTCCCTGCAAATACAAATAGTAAGTAGAGTTTAATGTGAACTTATTATCGGCTGCGATAGAAGCTATAGAAGTTGTTTTTTTAAGCAATTTTACACATTCCATGACTTCAACGACAACTAAGGAACTCAGACAAAAAGAAAATTAACGTTTTGGCCTTGAACTTAAACAAATCCTCACTGGCCATATTTTCAGTATTATGACTGTTAAATCATGGCAATGAATACGAAAGAACAAACTGAATGGACATAATAATGATTTAAGTATAAGGTAGTGTGTTGTTTTGGATGTGAGCATTTATATCTCAGGCTAACGCTAAGGTCAACTGACTAGTGGGTGATCAGGAAAGCTATCGTCAATCCTGCAATGCATGTGTGCTTTGAACATCCCTCTGTGTAGAGCGGTAGTAGAAGTAGTAGTAGTAGTAGTAGTAGTAGTAGTAGTAGTAGTAGTAAAAGTAGTAGTAGTAGCACCAGCAGCAATTATTATATTTTACAGATTTGAAAAAATTAATTGCAGCAAAGAGGGTTCAGATGGTGCTGGCACAAGTGCTGTGCAAAGGTTCAGTTTTTATCATGAAATCATCGCATACCTGTCTGTGACGAGCTCGTTGTATAGTAAGGTTATTCACTAACTTCCAGATGGTGCTTTCAAAGATTTGCAGTGTATAATGTAGACTAAACTTCATTCATCAACCTTTGCATTGCATATTTAATGGCCATCCGTTTACATGTTGATGTTGTGTACATATTGAACCTTTGTTGATATCTTCCTTTATGTTTTTAGTTCCTGTTCTCAAAGCATCTACTGTCATATATCTTTGTACCGATCCTCACGCAACAAGGACAAACAGTGATATCTTTGGTAAACGTATTGATGTTGTCAAAGAGAATACGTTGATTCAGTTTATTGGCACATATTGACGTTGACAAAGTCAGTATTTAATTTGTCTTACCAGTGTGGACAATCCTGAGAGTGAAAACTGTTACAGTAAACTACGGTTATAACGAACTCAAAGGGACTACTAATTTTAGTTCGTTATAACCGTAATTCGTTATAAGCATATATACAGCATAACTACAGCATATAGTCGGGACTAAAAAGTTAGTTCGTTATATCCGTTAGTTCGTTATAAGCGTGTTCGTTATAACCGTAGTTTACTGTATTTCTTAAATTAAGTAGGTAACAGCCTTCAAATCCAAATTAGCATATTCTAAAAGGTGGCTTCAAAGCTGTTGCTTTCGTAATTATATAAGTTCCTTTGTTTGCTTATACACATCACCTACTTATTGGCGTCTTTACTACTAATGAATGTTTTTTTGTTATTATTGGGTTTTACCTGTAGCTTTGATTATGCATGATTTTATATTGTCAAATGCTAATATATGCATATATGCACGTTTATATTACAATAATGTACTGCTATGTTGATGTTATATTGGAGAGGAGTTTCATATTTTTTAGATGTAAATATCCCATAGAAGAAAGACAATATTGCGTATACCAGAAGAATTTGTTGTCATTCCAAACATGTTAAAAATACAACAATTGTACTAAATTGTCAGTAATAAAAGAATTAAAAAAATTTAAATCTTCCTAATACTGCTTCAGACATCATACACTGTCTGCACTGTCATTTTAACTGGTATGTGGGCGTGAGAGTAATGAAGTTTTGTTGACTTTCATGTATAGGTGGTGCTCTGCTTTGACAACTGGTATCATCATCTAAAATTATTCTTTGATTTGGAACCAGGAAGGTACTGGGTGACTTCCACTTAGTATCGTAATACCCATGTACGCTTTTCACTTTGATTAAATGATTTCATTATCAACTAAGGAAAACAATGCACGTGTACGAATAGAACATATTCTGAAGAACCTGTACATGTCAAATTTGCAATAACTGTGTCCAGGAAAAATACGACCACTTATATGGCGATATTTAAATTCATCAGTTAAAGATATAACGCCTTTTAACAACAGCATCAATGGTATCGATAGATTGACATCTAATTTTGTGTGACCTTAAATGAAGACACCAATGACGAGCCAGAAGTGAACTATCCGGAGTCCTACTGTTTATGTAGCTATGACAGCCAACCGAGACATGCTGTCTGGTTCCGATGTTGAGCCCTCCAGTCGGTATGGCACTGTTGTCTATTATTTCATTTCCAGTATTACCCTGTCTGGCGCTCGGCATTAAGGGGCTAAAACAAGGACTGGTCGGCTCGGAGTCAGTATACTGTGTCTGAGTGGGGTATTCATGTTAAACTGCGGCATGGTATCTCAGTGAGCTAGCACTATAAATGGCATCAGACCGGACTAGTACAAGCAGCCACACACACACATACACGTGCATGCACGTCGCTATGTAAGTGCAATAATCTTGGACGCGACGTTAAACCCCATTTCACCTCACCTCATTTCCAGTAATGTAAAAAGTATCAGTGGAAGAGTAAGTGAGTGAGTGAGTATGGTTTTACGCCGCTTTTAGCAATATTCCAGCAAAATCACGGCGGGGGACACCAGAAATGGGCTTCACACATTGTACCCATGTCGGGAATCGAACCCGGGTCATCGACGTGACGAGCGAACGCTTTAACCACTAGGCTACCCGACCGCCCCATCAGTGGAAGAGGGGTTACTATCACACTTCCACAATTCAAAGTGTTCAATATCAAGTTCTGATAAATAATTCTTAATGGCTAGCAAGATCCCCCTGACCTCTTAAATGATTTTTCGGTTGTTGAATGGGCCATGTGTCACATCCCCCAATATCTCCAGCATAGACAAAGTGTTTTCTCAATAACCCACGTGTGAAGCAAGTAACCAACAGTTATCTGCAACCACCACAACAGCAGCAAGTGAACAACAGCTATTCATTATACCTTTAATACTCTTATGTCCATGTCAACAATGACTTCATTCATTTAGCAGCACATGACATATTCATGCTTCACGTATCGTTTATGTGCTGATGTATTTCATATATTCAGAGAGGGGTTGAGAAACCATGAAATCGAAAGAATATACTTCTCAAGAACGGAATGTTGATACTCTCTACTCACACAAACAAGAAACGCATAGGTGATATGGTTTGTCGAAATATTGTTTATTTTGACAGAACTGATGTCACAAGTATTGAATTTCGCAGTTGTTACTGTGACACATTTCGGAAAAATTCGAGTCCCCACATGCACCATTTGATTACTTTAAAACTTTGGCACGTTTTACCGGCATTGCCTAATAGTCGGGCTGGGCCGGGCCGGGCCAAGACGGGCCAAAGTGTTATTGGCTAACTATTTCATTATCGGCGATCATACCTACATATAAGTGATGCAACATACACACATGACATTAATGAACAATCACCAAACAAAAATTAATTAAGAACTTCGGAGTAAATCGCTTGAAAACCAGAAAGTGGAGCTGCGTGTAAGCGTCGCTGATCTAGGTAACATGTAAAAGAGCAATCGTTAAACGAAATAAGATTTGAAACGTATCAAATACTTCTAGCTATTGTGATACAAATTTCCATCTGTCGGCATAGCGTTTATATTTATAGGAACGTACTATATCTAAGTAAATACCACTTTATAATGTCACTGTTCGTCGTATTTCAAGCAGACACGTTGGTTAAAGTAGACCTCTTCTCCCTTTACTCTCAACAGTCACACAAGTGTTCGGTCCGACTTGGCCCGGGCTGTCAAAATGAACTTTAAACTCACATATGTATTATCAAATCAATTCACATCTATAGACTAGTATATTATCTACCAAAATACCACTTTATAATTTCACAGATCGCAGTATTAATAGAAAACAAGGGGCTCAAAGTGAAGCCATATTCACTCTACATTCTCAACATAGTCTCTATCAGAAGTGTTTGGCTTGTCCTCGGTCCGACTTGGCCCGGGCTGTCAAAATCAACTTTAAACACACAGATGTATCTTCCATTGTGTTTACATCTATAGACTAGTGTTATATATACCTATATACCACTTAATAATGTCACGGTACATCGTATTTAAAGAAAACAAGGTGCTCAAAGTGAAGCATTTTTACTGTATTTTCTTAAGAAAATCTATGTCAGAAGTGTTCGGTCCGACTTAGCCCGGGCTGTCAAAATCAACTTAAACCTCAAAGATGTATCATCACAGGGATTCACATCTATAGATTAGTATTATATCCACCTAAATACAACTTTAAAAAGTCTCGGATCGCCGACCTTAAAGAAAACAAGGGGCTCAAAGTGAAGCCCTTTTCCCTCTACATTCTCAACATAGTCTCTATCAGAAGTGTTTGGCTTGTGTTGGGTCCGACTTGGCCCGGGCGGTCAAAATCAACTTAAACCTCACAGATGTATCACCAAATGGATTCACATCTATAGATTAGTATCATATCTACCTAAATACCACTTTATAGTGTCTCAGATCGCTGTACTTAAAGAAAACAAGGGGCTCAAAGTGAAGCCCTTTTCCCTCTACATTCTCAACATAGTCTCTATCAGAAGTGTTTGGCTTGTCCTCGGTCCGACTTGGCCCGGGCTGTCAAAATCAACTTTAAACACACAGATGTATCTTCAAATGTGTTTACATCTATAGACTAGTGTTATATATATCTATATGCCACTTAATAATGTCACGGTATATCGTATTTAAAGGAAACAAGGTGCTCAAAGTGAACATTTTTACTGTATTTTCTTAAGAAAATCTATGTCAGAAGTGTTCGGTCCGACTTAGCCCGGGCTGTCAAAATCAACTTGATCGTGTTTTGATCGTGTTTGCTACCGTAATATGAGACACTTAAGTGTTATATAGTTATATATAATACTAGTCTATAGATGTAAAGTATGTGTTGTAATTTTAGAAGCGCTTTGACCGTTATTAACACGTGTCGTGTCAGCCCTGTGACATTCGCGAATATCCACTTGCAGAAAACATCCTGTGTTGGTTTAACATGAATTAGTAAAGGTTAATTAGGGATGCCAAACACGTTAATTAATGAAAGAAGAGTAGTCAAAACACAGTCATTTCCTGCCCAGGACATCACACCCCTACACGTTAAGGTCGGTGAGAAACGTTCTCATCAAAGAAATGACACAGTCAAGACACTGACTTTTCGGTATGGACTCTCGATATGTAGCTATAATTATCAGTTTATCACATTGCTGAAGATGCATTTTGATTCAAACTCAATTAAATGAGCAAAACTATACGTTTCTGGACAATTGAGATCTGCCTAGATATGCACGTTTCGTTTTATTATTCTGCAATCCACTTTTAGTATTACCCGCTGGCCCGGCCCGGCCCGACTTTTCTTGGCCCGACTTTTAGGTAATGCCGTTAAACAACAAACCAACCAACCAACCAACCAACCAAGCTGAGTGCGGCGTTATATGATCTAGGTGAATCTAACCCTCTTTCCACCAGTGATGGTTCCCATGAATTGGTTTGAGGCCTGTGTACTGAAACTCTCTGCTTTTCACACAGATCTGATAGTTCTGTTGGTGAATCTTTTCTGTCATATTGTCTTTTCTTCCTATGAATCATGGCGTTCAACACGACCTTCATGTGTTTGACATCGTCGGATATGACTGCTTGCGGGGAGAAGAGTATGATAATCCCGCCTATTCAACAGCCTGGCTGGAGCATGTAGCTCTTTGTCGACAGATGTGGTTCTATACTGCAGGATGGAAGATATGGGTCTGCTCCTGATCTTTGAGACTTCTTTCGAAGATTTTCTTTTACAGGTTGCACCATTCTTTCAATAAAGGATAGGTTGGTGAACTTGTAATATGTCTCACATTCCATGAATTGTAGAATCTGGCAAATTCTTGACTATTGCACTTGGGACTGTTGTCAGTAACCAAAGGTTCGGGTGTACCGTTTTCTGCCCAAATACATTTGAGATGATTGATAACGGCAACTGGTGTTGTAGAGGTCAGTTTTCGATTAACTGAGAACTTGCTGAAATAATCGGTCACAAGGAGATAATGGACGCCTTTATAATCAAACGGGTCTGATCCAATTTTCTGCCATAGATATCTTGGTATGGAATGCTGCAGTAGGGATTCCTTGTGTTGGTTTGAATGTAGTTCCCGCGTCTGACACTTCATTAACATGTCCTTATTGTCTCACTCTCATTAAAATCAGATTTTAGGTTTCGCTATCGCTAAACAAAGATCTGAGGACATCCGATAACAGGTCACGTCAGAACGACCTTTCGCGAACTTTGACCGACAAATGAAATGACTGACAAATATTGGTCATTAGCCAATCAGAAAGCAGCTTTCTCGAGCTTTACTACACAAGTTTTAAACTGTTTCGAAACATATTTTGACGTATTCTCGATTAAAAAAATTAAAACTGATAAAAAGAACATTCTAGAATGGCTTATAGATGGCCTAGATTGTATGGATATAATTAAAAAAAAACGTAACTGTCCTTTGGAATACCCTCTGTTAAATGTTTCGAGGTTGCATGATTATAAAACACATCCCGTCCGTCACTTTCATGATCTGGTAAGCGACGCTCTGATTGGTTGGGTGAAAGGTCGTTCTGACGTGACCCGTAATGGGATGTCCTCAGATCTTTGTTTAGCGATAGCGAGAACTAAGATCTGATTATAATGAGATTGTATTGTCTTTGGTAATGTCAGATCAGAACATAGGGTCTTTAGCTTTTAGTTGGTATTCTACACCCAAGTGACCCGA